ATATTTATATATTCAGTTGTGTGAAAAAGTGTTGGCCCCCTTCCTGATTTTTCATTGTTTTGCACGTTTGTCACACTTTAATGTTTCAGATCATCAAACAAATTTAAATATTAGTCAAAGATAACACAAGTAAACACAACATGCAGTTTTTAAAGCACGGTTTTTTATTATTAAGGGAAAACAAAATCCAATTTTGGGCAGGTGTTTTTTTTCTATGTTCAGCCTGCTGCGGCTAAAAAAAGTATCTTGCATGCGAATAGGCATTGTGTGTGTGTGTGCTGAGTGCTGCCTCCATTCCACTGTGTGACATATTGTGGTAGCCGGGCAGCAGTGCTCTCTAACACGCACAATGTGCGTTAAAGGGCAAGTTCACTTTCCCCCTGCTATGCTTAACTTTCGGCGAATGGTCCTACCCCTGCACCAGTATGGGTGTACTATCTGTACCCCATACTATGGACTAGTGCAGCTATGGATTTTGAATTCCGCTTGCAAATTGCGAGCACTCATTGGTCAGCGCAGCCAAGAAGCCCTTCTTAGCATGGTTAAATCAAATTTTGGTTCAAATTATTTTTGGATCAGGAAAAGTAGATTGTCATGAGGGACAAGTAAATTGGGCCCCCGCTTTAGTCTTTGGATAAGTAGTTTTTTTTTAACAATGTCCACAACCTTGCCACTGTATTCTCTGAAATTTGCAATTCAACATACATTTTTGGTTTGCGAGGCGTTGACACGTAATGAGTCCCTTGCTAACGGGCACAATATAAAATGTATAAGACTGTTTAAAAGTAAAAATAAATGTAATAGATAAATATGCTTCACTCACCATATTGATGGCATTAACTGGTCCGATGCTATTAACATACATGTCTGTATGAATTACTGTTGGTTTTACTGTGAAGTAAAAAAACACAATTAACAGCCATATAATATTCCTAAACAATACCACAGACATGGTGTAATGTGCTAAATGGTAATGCTGACACTTGGTCCTACAACTAGTAAAACATCAAAGAAATACCTACAATTAGGAATTGAAGTTGAAGTGAATGGTCACACTGCTGCAAATGATAAAAAAAAGCTTACTAATGTGTACCAACTGATTATATCCAGGTATTAAAAGAGAACTTGTAGGGGTTATTACCTCCCAAAACAGCTCCTTATCATAACAGCAGGCAACTTCAGGTATCTTCTCATACATGATCTTCATTTCACCCCAGGATCCCCAAGATCAGGCTGGAGAACAGCATAAACAGATTCCTGCCTCCGCTTCAGGTTTGTTCCCATTCGCCCTATTGGGCAGTGAGGCCACTTTTTACATGTCTTTTCCAGCCAGAACAATTTTGTAGCTAATTGCCTCTGGATTTCTGTTAGTTTTACAGATCATATGAGGAGGTGAGAAGGCACCTAGAGATGCCCGCTTTAAAGTGTTTTTAACCCTAAAACAAAAACAGTGCCCAAATATCACCCTGTAAAAAAAGACCTTTTATACATATCTGTTCAACTTATTGCACAGATCTTCACTCTGTGTATGAGCTACCACCTCAGGCAGAATCTTCACACCCATGGCCCTTCTAGGTTTTTCAGATGTGTGGTCCCCCACTACATGCTTCAGTTCCATCTGTCAGCCCCTACATCACTACAAGACAGGGAACCACTGCACGCAGTGGGGATATAGTTGATTGTAAAAATTTGACCTAAGGCCTAAGCTCTACAAAGATCCAGGAAACAGGCATCAGAATAGGTGAGTATTAAAGGAGAACTATGAGATGAGTGATTTCCACTCACCTCATAGTTCTAGCCGACCTGTGACAATGAGACTGTCACAGGTCGGCTCAGTAGATCGGGAGGTGAGCGAACACATACCGGGTTCGCTCACCTCTCGATCCTGTCACGGCTCTCTGTCGTGACAGGGGGAGGGGCTGGATTCCCCTCTCCCCGCTCCGATCTGCCAGCGCTGACTGGCGGAACGGACGGGGGAGGGGGCGGGTACAGCTGGCTCTGCCTCTAGATAGGCAGAGCCAGCTGTCACTCACGCAGCTGGGCAGATCTCAACATCGTTGTCGGGATCCGCTCCGGCTGCGGCGTGTCAGTATACTGCGAGCTGTAGCTCGCGGTATACTGAGCTTAGGGTAACGGGAGGACGCTAGTTTGCGTCCTCCCATTACCCTAAGGAGAACTATGGGGAAAAACACTGACCCCATAGTTTTTCTTTATTAGTCTTCTTTTGCACAGTATATCAAACCCATTGGGGACATGTGTGGCCTTTAGGGGTATTGTAAGACTAAATCTAATGTGGATCATTAGATTTCCTGGAAATCAGTGATTCAAAAAGCAAAGTGCAAATACAGATAATAATGTCACATTCTAGGTAATGTATTAATACAGTGTGTGTTCGTCTGTAGTTTACCTGTTACAATTGACATACGTCTATATCCTTGTGTAGTTTAAAATCTGTGTCCATGCCACATTCATCTAAGCACGTATTCCTTATTGGCCCAGCTTACACAGAAAGTAATTAAACAACAAGTGTTTATGATCTGTGAGAGAAACCCAATCACCCAGAGAAAATCCGCACAAACATTACAGATTTGCAATGAGAGCCTTGTTTGAGTTAAAAATAGACACAAAGTGGCAACACTACTGCTGCATCTCAGTGCTGTATTACATCAGATTAAGTGGACATTTCAGGTCATTTACAAATCAAAACACATATTTTAATATATCTAGTAAAAAAAATTCACAGAATTACACTACTGATTATGTTGCACAGAACATAGTGTATGTTACCATTTTACACATTTTATTATATTTCATCAACAGCATGAGCCACTACTTTACCTACTTTGAGTTTTGATTAAAATAACTGCTACTGCTGGAAACGTAAATTGAAGCTGTCAATCTAAACTGTTATTAGAAAGTCTGTGCTCTAAGCATTGAAGATGTGTAAGATGCTTTTAACCACAGCAATCAGATTTGAGTTTACTGTAGTGTAATTAGAGAAAGATTAATTCTGATTAGATTACTGCGTTTTACTTGATGCTGTTTGTCTAACTGCATAAGCCCACAACACATCACATGTATCCTTTGAATCGGAGGGCTGTAAATGTAATTTCCACCTTATTAATGTATTTATGAAAAGAAATGACAAAGTCTTGTGGTTATATTTTTTGAACAGTTGCTATAGACTCATAGCATGAGTTAGATAAATTAATAGAATACATGCATTGACAATGCCTATCATCAGAATAGCAATAACTAGTCAATGGAGTGTTACCATCATTTCTACAAAGTTTACAGTTAGGTGCTTGAGTGGTTCTTTAAAAGAATATTTATACAATGTATATTTTCTAGATTTCCAAAAAGCATAAAAAGCCTATTAGAAGGTTAGACAGCAGATAACATAATACTTCCAAGTATATATTCCAAGAGGGTATATTTGACTTCCTTTTCTGCTTCCTATAGATGAGCTCAGGTTTAGACCAAACCCGGTCCGAACCTGAGCTCCTCCGAAACCCTGGAGGAGCCCCTCCCGAACACGGAAGGGAGCTGCTTCCATACCACCTAATCAGCTGCTGGGTGGAAATTCTCCACTCTCCAGGGGCAAGATGCTGTGACATCATTAATCTTATATGGCTACATGCCTATATCTGGTAAATTGCATTTACTTTATATGGCTATGTGGCCATATTAGGTAAATTACATCAGCACAAAAATCTCTGCCCTTTGTTTACATGTAGCTGCAGGGTAGGGAATGCCCGTACTGCAGCTAACTGTGTGGAAGTGTTTATGGCAATTTCTTGTTCCAAGGAACTCGGGTTCAGATCCGATCTCCCTACTGCTTCTCATAGTTAAATGGCTGGCCGTTAAGTGGCGAGTCTCAGTCCAGAGCACTGTCACCGTGGGATGGAGGAGTGTTCATACCCATGAGATTTTTGAGTGATGAAGTTAGAATTTCTGACTTTTTTATGCCTGACCCTATTGATGTGATTTTTACCTTAGCTTTTGATCTGTGATATCCAGACAAGAAATGTAAGGAGCTGTTGTCACTGTGTCAGCAAGGCACTGTCAAAGTTCAGCTGCAGTCTTGCAGCTGAGCTGTTACTTGTAGTTTTACAAGTATATACAGACCTCTTACCCCTGGTTCTGCAGGGGTGCAGGGCTGTGCTGTTGCTTGTAGTCCTCTAGGCATATGCTCTGAACATGACCCACTCTTGCACCAGTCTGGCAGCTTTAGGCGTTGGACGACGATCTCCTGCTGTTTTGTATGCAGCTTCTTGGCCAATCAGTGCTGTCTGCTTGTGGCCAATCCTTCCTCTTTCTGTCTCTATTTAAACCCAGGGCAGCGAACGGCTCACTGCCGGAGCAACGCTTTCCGAAGCTAGATGACGAGCCGCCCCATTTGCGATTGAACCTGACTTCCTGGAAGTTTGCCCGTGTATTGAACCTTTGGCTTGTCCTTGGTAATCCCTGTATACAGTCTGCCTTGTGCTTCGCTTTGTCCTTGGAAATCCCTGTCTACAGTCTGCCCTGTGCTTCGCTTTGTCCATGGAAATCCCTGTCTAGTCTGCTCTGTGCTTCGCTTTGTCCCTGGAAGTCTTAGTCTTCAGCCTGTTCCTAACCTTGGATTCATACCCTGTACCTGTTAGGAGAGTTGGGTGGACCTAGGGATTGTGACCTGGGGTCAGCACGCAGCCAAGCCCATCTCCACCATCAGGAGCTCTGGCGAATACCGGCTGGCCCTTAGATTCCACATCCTGGGGGATCCCATACTAACTACTCAGCATTGCAGCACCCTGCCTTGTACTTGAATTTCCAGCTTAAGCTGTCTTCCACTGCCTCATTCAGTTCCCCTGCTTGTACTCCAGCTCTGGGAGTTGTCAGCCTACACTGCTTGGACCCTTTTCTCTAAGTGTCCCTGCCAGTGTAGAAGGGTTCCCATACCTGACTCCAGTTCATACCCGTGAGCCCCTGATCCATGAGAGGCACAGACAGCAATGCAAGCCCTAACCCTTCCTGAAAAGAAGTGAGTTGAAATCTGAGGTGAAATCTATCCAATCAGGACACAGATGGAATAAAGAGCTGACAAATATGCCATCTATTCCTAGCTGTATCTAAAACTAAATACAAAGTTTTGACTGGAGTTGGGTTTTAACATCTTCTAGTGCATAAAGTCAAATTGTTACTACTTTGCCCAGTCTAGGTTAAACCCTTGAAAAGAGTCAGTAGATTGTATATCATCAGGCATAACTAAGCAGACCAATAACTTTTTAATCACTGAATCACTAAGCTTCAACCCATAGGTTTACAGATATTTGTCCCCATTGTACCCCCCTGTAGTTATGGCCTGGGCCTAATTCTAAAGTATGAGCTAGAAAAATGCCAAAAAAATTATTTTGTTAAGAAGACTCCACTCATATGTCTCTGCAACCTACCATAAAAGGAAACAAATACTGTACATATATATGTAATCTATTAGGAAAGCTGGAAGAACCCATCATGTTTTGCTGATATCCTTTTTTTTTTGTTTGCATTACTATGGCAGCTGTTGAATTAAAGATATAATATTTCCACTAATGGAAATTACACAATTGAATTTCTGATTATTTTAAGCAAAACGGTAACCTGTTGTAAATAAGCACTTACCCCCAATATCAGGCCTGAGTTTGTTGTCATACCCTTTGAGAAGTCCATTTAAAATAGATGTTACATCATTATCATGGAATTTGCGTGTGAGTAACCATGTTTTATTAGATGGTGCATCCTCATAGTCTTCATCCTCTTTTTGTAAAGAACTGCAACAAAAACGGAGAAAATATAAACATTCGATATGAATACATGTGATAGCAATAACATTAAGTGTAAAAAAACATAAAAAGATTTAAAAAAAATAAGTCACATATAAAAAAAGTTAAAAAAAACCCTAAAAATGTTTAAGTCCCCCACCCCCACGTTTACGCACATATAAACGTAAATATGCGTCAGATGCACCAGCGCGCAAAAACGACAATTGCACTATACATGTTACAGAGCAATACACTGATAACACTAAACTGATGAGTGGTACAAGCTTTTAAAGCGTCGCCTATGGTCAATTTTGGGTATTGTCGTTTCTTTAAGTTTTGCGCGCACACGCAATTATAAGGCTTGAAACGTTTGGTGTCTTTTTACCCAACATGACCCTGTCTTTTATATTTTACAAACAAATTGGGTAATGTTAAATAGAGCTGCAGCTAACGATTATTTTAAAAATCGATTAGTTAGCCGATTATTAAGTTCGATTAATCGGTTAATCAGATAAAAAATTAAATACATTTTAAAAAATGGCTCCAGTGATGGGACTACTAGTTTGTATTGAGATTGTAGTCCATCACAGGAGCAAGCTTGGAGCGGTGGAGGTAAAAAGGAAAAAAAAAAGTGTGGTGTATAGTGAAATGAAAAGTGTAGAATTATCCAGCAATCAATGCAGAATGGCACCGACTATAGAGGACTCCAAAACCCAGCAATAGTACATTATACAGCACAATTTAGAATACCACCAGCTAAAGAGGAATACAACAAATCCCAGCAATAGTACATTATAGCCGGCAGTATTCTGAATTGCGCTGTATAATGTATTATTGGGTTTTGTAGTCCTCTATAGCGAGTGGTATTCTGCATTGCACCACCGTATAATGTATTATTGCTGGGACCTCTATACAGCGCAATGCAGAATACCACCAGCTATAGAGGAGTACAACAAATCCCAGCAATACATTATACATACAGTGTATAATGTATTGCTGGGATTTGTACTCTTCTATAGCTGATGGTACGGGTTCATGCTCTGTATAATATACAGCACAATGTACCATCAGCTATAGAGGACTACAAATCCCACTATCCCAGCAATACATTATAGAGCACCATGTGTGGGAAAGTGCAGGCTTACTTGAGCAGTCTTACAGCAACTTGTTTCTGAGATCGGGCCTGTCTATCGGCGGCTGTCATCCGCCCACAACTGCTCCTCCTTACCTTCTTCTCCCCGTGTCCCTGTGCCTATCGTGGATTTGGGTGAGCGTGAGGCGGGGAGGAGGTGCGGCGTGTGGAGCGTGGATGCGGTGGGTCTGGCAGCGGCGAGCGTGAGGTGGGGAGGAGGTGTGGCGCGCAGCGTGTGTGGAGCTGTGAACAGGGCCAACCAATCTGAAGCCGATTAATCGATGATTTAAAAAGTTGACAACTTTTTCAATAATCGATTATAATCGATTATGTCGATTAGTTGTTGCAGCCCTAATGTTAAATGTTTTATAATTTAATATATAGGGGAAATGTTTTTTTTAAAAAAATCAGTAATTTCTCCTTAATATAGTAAACAATAAAAACCCCAGTGGTGGATTTTGTATGGCTGCTATGTTAGCTACATTTTGTAATCTGTTCCTGCATACCGTTACTGTTTTTGTAAGAAAAACCTAATACAAATTTTGTGAAAGAAAAGAAACCTTAGTTTAAGAGGAAACAGTGTGATATCATAGATCCCATTGAGATCCCTTTATGAAAGGGGGCACCCAGATTCCTTTAAGTCCTCCTGCCTGCAGATCCCCACAACCACCGGGCCAGGATTGTGGGTAAGAGCCCCTTGTCCTCATCAACATGGGGACAAGGTGCTTTGCCCTGACAAATCACCCTCCCCATGTTAAGGGCATTTTGGCCATGTATGGTACAGTAGGGAAGGGGCACAAACTTACCCACCCCCTTTCCTGCTCTGCCAGACTGCTGCCAGGTAAGGGATTATAGACCCAAATCCTGAAAAACTAAATACTGAAAAATCCAAAACAAAACTAAATAAACCAATCTGAATTTTTTGCCGGCCTACATGTCTAGATATTTTAATAGAAGTCACTAGGAGCCAGGTCTGGGCTATATGGTAGATGCGGAAGCACTGAAAAGTCCAGGCTTTGAATCGCATTCCTTGCGTGAGGCCTGATGATGTTGTGTCGAAGAAGTGTTTTATTTCTGTTGTTCTTGTGTTGTTCTTGCAGATTTTCTTGGAAAAGGAACAACAATAAACTCTGAACGTTATATTGAAACTTTTACTGCATTAAAAATAAGAATCAAACGGATTGGAATAAGAAATGAAACACTTCTTCAACATGACAACACGACAACGCCAGGCCTCACACAAGTTAAGCAACAAGAGACAACACCTGGACTTTTCAGGGCTGCTGCATCCACCGTATAGCCCAGACCGGGCTCCTAGGGATTTCCACCAAAACTTAAGGAACACTTAAGGAACACGTGCTTCATCTGTGATGATAAGGGAAAGTCTGCAGTGAGGAAATGGTTTCAAAAACAAAACACCATTTTTTTTTTAATGGATTTAAAAAACTGCTGCGTTGGCGGAAGTACAGGTGAAACTCGAATAATTAGAATATCGTGCAAAAGTAATTTCATTAAGTGCTGCAAAAGGGGCCCAAACCAAGTACTGAGTACATATGCATGCTTGTACTTTTCAGAGGTCCGATATTGTTCTATGTACAATCCTTGTTTTATTGATTGCATGTAATATTCTACTTTTTTGAGGTTGTGGATTTGAGGTTCTTGGGGTTTTCATGAGCTGTAAGCCATAATCATCATAATCAGTTATGACAAATCACGGCTTGAATTATCTTGCTTTGCTTTGAGTCAATCTCATATATTAGTTTCACCTTTTAAGTTGCATTAGTGAAATAAATGAACTTTGCACGATATTCTAATTATTCGAGTGTCACCTGTATATTAAAGTGTGTGGTGATTTTGTAGAAAAATCATTATGCAGCTTTGAAAATAAATTATGTAAATATATATATTTTTTTATGTCAGTAAAATATCTTTTCACGTTAATTTTCTATTCAAGTGGAGGCAACATTTATCAGCCAGTTTCCTGCAAAAAAATATTCAGTATGTTAGTTTAAAAATACTGTAGAAATGTAGCTAAATCAACTTAACACCAAAGATATTGACCATTAAACTTTCTTTACTTGACTTGGTATGGTACTTGTATTGAAAATGACACATTTATTAACCTGTGTTTTTTTCTTTACCACCAATGTATTGATTTTAAACAACAAATATCACAAAATAATCACAAATCACCCAAAAGGTTTAAACAACAACCTCACAAGGTTTTTCTTTTTTTTAAGTTACAGCCATTGGAAGTTGTCATAAGAAGGGTGATGTCAGCTTTCACCTTGTCATTCAAACCATTGCTTGTAAGCCCTCCGCTATCTTTGCTGACCTTAGTGGCACCTTATTTGATATCAGGGATTGGCCAGTTAGCATCACAGTGAACACTTAGACAGCTTTTGAGCTTTGAAATGTCCAAAGTATTTGCGGGCTAAGAAAAACTTTGATAGCATGACTGTTAAAACTTTTGAGATTTGTCATTTGAATAGAATTTTTATATAGAATCTGTAAGGCCACTGTTAGAAAAGACTGAAACCTCACAATGAGCACAGTCATGTTGTATCAGGTATGGTAAAGATGCTGGCACCAGAGTGTTTTCTTCACTAATAGAAAGTTACAGCGCAATTACTATATAACCCAGAAAAGGCCTTATATTGCAGTAGGTCTTCATTTCCACCTGTGCCACTTCTTGTACCATGTACACTTCCTCACACCAATGCAGTGTGGCTGATTCATATTTTATTGATTAGGAGTGATTGACTGCCGCAACATTCACATATCAACCCTATGTTACTGTAAAGAAACATATTCATGACACAGCCTATTTCTGTAGAGGAATTATCAAGTAGACAGGTACCCCACTGATGACTGCATGCATTTTCTCCTTTTTTTCTTTTATCAAAGTACCTTAACTATTAACAAAAATGTATCTTATTTGTGTATCGTTCAGCTGTATATTCTCAAAACATCTCTAAATGGTGCAGACACTGTCCTTCCTTCTGGAGGGTGGCTACTTTTGTTCCCCATACTACCTGTGTTTGTTGTAAAGTAGCCACTACTCCATACTTGCTCCCGATGATGGACTACAATCTCAGTACAAATTAGTAAACTAAAGGTGAGATTGTAGTCCATCAGGGAAGTGAGCTTGGAGTGGTGGCTACTTTACAACACACACAGGAACCTTAGGGAACTAAATTAGCAACCCTTCAGAAGGAAGGACAGTGTCAGCATGAGTACAGAGATGATTTGAGGATCTACAGCTGAGTGATACACAAATAAGATACTTTTTTGTTAATAGTTAAGGTGCTTGAATGTATTTTTAAGTTTTACCTCCTGAGTTTAGTGTCACTTTGACATCCTTTATATTTGTGATTCTCCTTATTTGCATTTTTCTTTTTTTCTCGCAGGCCATATAGAATATGTATCAGATAACTGTACATCTTACTTTTGAATCCACAATAGCGGAGGACTTTTATAAACCATGCACATGGTAGCACACTCTCCCACATAACAACACAGTGATCTGACAACTGCCCTCTCAAACGTCAAACTCTGCACTGTGGGCTATATGGGAGCTAAAAAACACAAAAACACAAATAGTACATTTTGTACAGTATATTTATTTTTTATCTTTTTCTCAATCAGAATAAAGTACAATGAGTCAACACACAGTGGAGAAAAATAACTAAAGTCTTTTCCATAGATTTGTATTTACAATTACCAGTTTCCCTCATTTACAGCCAATGCAGGGTAGCAGTGGAATGTCTGTGGCAACTGTTTTTACAAAGCAATGTGAGTTTGAACTGTGCAGACACTGCACCCCTGAACTGAAAAGGGACCTAATGTGTAGGCACCAAGATGGGCTTGGCATGCT